CCCCCTGTCCATAAACTGCGTCCGCCGAGAGGAGCCACCCTTCTCCTCACCGACCCCAGTTTCAGAACAGGCCCCCTACTCGGTCACCCCTTCTCCCTCAAAGGCATACAGTTCCCACCTGAAGTATGCCCCTGCGGAGCAGTAGTTCCCAGGCCGGTCATATCCGCCTCTACCCTGTCACGGACTACAATACACGTAAACACACACACACACACACACACACACACACACACACACACACACACACACACACAATCCCCTTCCCCGGGCCAAAAGACCCGATCCTGAAGGAGATGTTCATGGGTAATCTGCACACCTCTAAACCCTCGTCAAAAAGCGCACATGAGAAGCACTGGTGACTTCAAGAGTGAACCAAACCCTTATGGAAGAAAAACTTGTCGTGGATATGAAACTGATACAGCAATAACGACTGGGGTAGTTTCAGTCTAGATACAGCAATAACGACAGTACGTTCTATTCATGAAGAGGTTTTTCAAGTCGCTGGATCCGGTTTCCAGCATGCACCCCGCCCTACCAATAGATTTGAGATTCACTTGTTTAAGAATGAAAATAAAATTCCTTGGTTCGGGGGCTATAGGGAAGGCCCGTTGACCAACGTAATTCTGAAGGAAAGAAGAAGTCACGCTGGAAAAAAAAGGAACAAACAATGACCAAAAAGGCCGATGCTGGTATTCAATGACAGTTCGCGTAGAGGCAACACCTGGGTCTTCTGTCCAGCCCAAGATTTTCCAGACCTTTGGCCCCCTTCTGAGTAGTTTGTTGTAAATTATATATAATTCCAAGAGTGAGGGCCCTGAGATGTCATGATTGAGCTGACCGGCCCCGGGTCATTCAGATTTGTATTATTCTGTTCATCTGATCGTAAACTGGATTCAAACACGAGTCTGTATTTCAACAGTTCATGGGTGTACCAACTGAGCTAGGCACCTTGGTTCCCTTCTTCTGAGTTTTGCCGTTACACCTTGCGTTCAAAGTGCGCAAGCCGACAGGGCTCACCCTACCTGTGCTTTAACAGGGGGCTGTGTGGAGTGAAACACCCTACAGACCCAGTGCCTGTGATCACATCAACTGATTCCTGAGCAGGGCTCTCTGGTTGACAATATAAATAAAGGGCTTTTGAAATTGGGGTGTGCTGGGGGGAACATTGAAGACGGATCCGGAGGGTGGCCTTGTGAGACGAAATGGGTCATGGAAAGGGTTCGTTAAACCACCAGTTTGTGCGGCCGTTAATGCTGTAGCCGAATCGGTCTGCTCCTCGGGTCCATAATATTATTCATTCTATCCCGGGGAGGTACGGAAAATGCGGTAGGTACTGGTGGTTTAAACCACCAGTAGCCGAATCGGTCTGCTCCTCGGGTCCATATTCATTCTATCCCGGGGAGGTACGGAAAATGCGGTAGGTACTGGTGGTTTAAACCACCAGTTCACATGGGCGTAACTTGACGGTGCTGCCTTCCATGCCTTGCGAGCCCGCGACTGCACCTTTTCAAAGTGGCCCTCCGCTTTTGCTACCGGCCCACGCCCAATGCCAAGTGCTCTTACCACATACACCAGCGAGAGCACTACTTAAGTTCGTGTGAACCGGCAGTTCAAAAAAAAAAAAAGGAGGATGCTCAATGGTCTCTTGAGACACATGTGAAGGGAACGGTAGCACACAGTGCCTGACAGTCTTCACAGGGGTCCACAGGCTTCCTGGTCTGGAGACGTCCTGTGTTGTAAGTTGTAACCCAATCTGCCGGGGGACGCAGCAGTGAGGATAGGCAATTGGAGAGCCGGGAGCCCTGCAGCTTGGTGGTCTGATGTTCTTGTCTGAGATTCCAGTTCGTAACTTTGTGTGCGTACCCTTCTTCTTTTTTGTTTTTTAAATGAGGGTCCTGTGCCCAAGGATTCTGGTGGGTGCCCTCCAAGTACTGCACCATCCAAATTCAGGTGTTGCATCCATCGGTTCCTGAGGGCAGGTCTTACCCACCTTCCTATGGAGGAGCTTGGACCAATTTTGCACCATATAGCTCGTGCAGGCGGTTGTTTTGTGGGGCTCGGTCTCCCTTTTCCATTCGACGGGGGCAAAGGGAGGCGAGGTGGTATCTAATCGACCTCACTCTCCCACTTATGCTTCAGCAAATTTCAGTCCAGATAAGCGGAGGGCGTGCCGCTGCTGAGCGGCTGGTGACCATCTCGTCACTGATGCTTCAGCACATTTCAGTCCAGATAAGCGGATGGCGTGCCGCTGCTGAGCGGCTGGTGACCATCTCGTCACTGATGCGTATGCCCATAGCAAGAGGAGGCCGTGGGTGTAATTGAATAACCTCCGGTAGCCGGAGGACGCTCCGTGATCGGACGCTCCGTGATCGTGTGGTGCGAGCAACCTGATTCATACACACGACCTTAATAAAATTTGAGAGCAAGACCATGTCACCCGAACAACTCCAAGCCTCATCTTCCAATCTTCTCTCAAGCTCTAAATGATATTTCAAATGCTTGGGTGTTGTGTGCGTGTCTGTTTACATGTGTTGTAGAATCGCCTACGATCAACACCAGATCTCCCCTGAAGTCTCAAGCAAGAGTGCAAAGCTGGCCTTGGTGATGCCATTGACCAGATCCTCCTAAAAGCCAGAGGCAATAAAAGAGTGGAGAGTACAAGGCCGGCCATGTTGGTGTGGTTGAGTGCTCGGTGCCCACACACCCATCTGCCTCCCTCTCACACTTGCACATTATTGAGGACCGGGGGCGGGTAAGAGGAAACCAACCTACACCCAACAACAAAAGTCGCAAGTCATTCTCAAAGAAACACTCAACACAGAGGACCTCGCTCCACCACGCAACGCACTACACGCAGTTCGACGCTTTGGGGACCACGTACATTCAAAATGTTGCGCTCGTCGGAATGCACCTGCTCCTGACAGCGTCCACGTGCTTGAAGAGTGACGTGTAGTGGAGCGAGGCTTTAAGTATCCCAAAACAAAGACCTGACTGTCCTGCCATGCTAACATGCAAGTGCTACGGTCTCCACTACACAACACACCAAATGCCCAGCTCTGGAGCTGCTGGGATGCTGCATGGAACTACTTAACAGGAACGCATCTGCCATGGGATCCAAAAACCATCCTCCTGGGGGAGACAGCCCAGCAAGCACACCGATGGTCAACATTTATGACCAATCTTTTCAACAACACACGCCTGCCGATGCTGATGACAGCATGGTGTATGAGATGCGAACATGAACACAAGCAACATACCTACGGATATATGGAGGCCAATGCCTCAATTGTACAAATCATCACAGCCAACACGCATGCAGCGTGGAGGGACCTCAAACAAATTCTGGCATCAGAGCCGGATGCAATAAAGCGACACGACCTCTCAGCTAATTCCCGCCTCCTCTGGGTGGACACTGCCGAGAGGCTCTGTGAATTGGACCTACACGACCAACTGCGCTGGAAACCGTGGACGACCACGGAAAGACAATGGGCACGCCTTCCGAGAGACCACTTTGTTATCACCCATCAGCCGACAAACGTCATCCTCGTCAATAGCTAGGGCCAAAACTCTAGTCCCTTAACCCTTAACCCCTAAACCCTCCCTGCAATCCCCGTGCCTGTTCTTCCCCCCCCCCTCTCCCCGCCCTCTTCTCCCCTCCACCGGTCCCCACCTCCCTGGCCCTGCCCCCCCTTATCAGATCCTGCCACACCGCCCGCCACCCCTCACCCACACCCTCAAACTCACCCCCCTATCCTGTGCCCTGCTGCTGGTTGTCGGCCAAGCAAGGACTCCGACTCCCGGATGAGAAGCCAATCTCAACCAGGACTCAGGAGGATCAGCAGACGGGACAGCACCCTGAAGATAGATGATGACATTTGCTACAAGAACAAGACGAGATGAAGTCAACGGCTCCATACATATACACAGCATCATGGGGAGCGAAGAAGAGCAAGCAAGAGAGAGGCAGAGATGGAGAGCTGACGAGAGAATTGACGAGGGATGGGGGGTGAGAGAGAAAGTGAGAAAGAGAGACAGAAGAAGACAGCGGCAGCAAGAGAGAGACAGTAAGAAAGGAGAGAGAGAGAGAGAGAGAGAGAGAGAGAGAGAGAGAGAGAGAGAGAGAGAGAGAGAGAGAGAGAGAGAGAGAGAGCCAGAGAGAGCCAGAACGAAACTGATACAAGAGCGACAGACTGAGAGTGAGAGTGAGAGAGGGGGAGTGGTGTAGACAAAAGCACCTTCATGACGTCACATTCGGGTCCGACCCACTTACAAGACGTAATTGGTGCCAGCACTGCCAACACATGTTAACACAATCACTACAAACTCTCCACATGTACAGGGCCTCTGGACCTGATTTCCAGCAGGTGACGCTCCCCACCTATAGATGGAGCCTTCAACACCGGGACCTGCTTAAGGGGGATGCTCGTATCGCCCCATTAAGCAGGCCTCCCAGCGCATGAAGACTATGAAGCTTGTTTCAAAAAAAAAAAAAAAAGAAGCATTTGGACCCTTTGGGAACCAGATACATTCAAACGCACCTGGTCCTGAAGACGTCAACGTGCACGTAGAGTGATGTGTAGTGAAGCGAGGCCCAAAGTATCCCAAAACAAAGCCTTGACTGTCCTGACATGCTAACATGCAAGTGCTAAGGTCTCCGCCACCTGTATGTGTTTAGACGCTCACGATTGTTTCGCACAGGGAATTCAATCCCATAATCACGTAGAACAGAGAAAATGAATTGCATGCAACTATTCCATCAACATAAGAACTCAGAGGGCACAAATTTTCTTTTTTTTCAACCTGAGGGCTCCCTACCTAACAGGGTTTTTGAGTGAGGACCTGAGAATACACCCAACATGTGTGCAAAACTGAATGTGTTCTGAATCTTCTGATTCTGCAGAAACTTCATCAGAGTGTATCACGCTCCTTAGTTTCTCTCACCAGAGGCAGCCACTTGTTTATCTAATAGAGCTTAGGAAATGAACTCTTGTCACTCACCAGAGGCAGCCACTTGTTTATCTAATAGAGCTTAGGAAATGAACTCTTGTCAAACTGACTTTTCCATCAACACAAGAACTTGGAAGCCACAGATATTGGGTTTTCTGAACATTTCTCTCAAGCTCAAGGCTTCCCTACCTAACTGGTTGTGGAGTAAAAAGGTAGGTAGTACTAGTATTCTAGTACCCAAGATGTGTTGTTCAGGGTTCTCACCATAGTTAGTTTTTCAGTAATGGCAGTTTTCTAGGATAGCTGACAAAGCTTAGGAAATGAATAGCAGCACTAAACTTTTCTGTCAACAAAAGAATTTGGAGGCCACAAATACTGTTTCCCCCCACCCTCAATCCCAAGGCTCCGTACCTAGCAGGCTGTTAACTGAGAGAGGTACCGGCATGTCATGACAAAGTTCTAGCGTTCATATATGAACTTAGATAAAACTTCATAAAAGACAAGTGCGAGATATGACAAACGAATGATCAGTACTTCCACGTCCTCGGACCCCTCCACATGACAGCGCGGTGAGCATGCGCGGATTTGAACCGGCACCCTTGGCCGCAAATGAATGGTCTAAACCTGACCATAACTTTTACCGGATTAAACATACCAAATTGTGGAATGCTATGCAACAAAAAATGTTTACGTATACGGCCACCAGCGACACCAAAAGGGGATAGCCAAAAGGAGGGACAGATAGCCAAAAGGAGAGACAGCTTTTCATCATGACAAGGACAGCCCCCTGCAGGCAGGCCAACGGAAGAAGCCTAAAGTGGACTGTGCCCATTATGGTCACCCCTGTAGTTGCTCCAAACCTGCAACTGAGGGGGCCAAACTTTTATCGGCCAAATAGTTCTTCACTTATGTCAGTCTGGGAATACGACTAGCATAGCTCGTGAGCCTCTCGTACAGTATGAACACGGGCGCTAACGTGCCCTAGCCAGCGACCGTAGAAGGTGCAAAATCAATTGGAGCGGGCTGTGCCACCATACTTGATTGTCACCAAACCACACCATTGCTATTCTCGGGTCTCGCCTTGAGTGTCCCACGCTCGCCCCAAAAGCCCCAGCCAAGACTGGATCAGCTTGCCAGAGTGCAGTCCATTGCAACTACGCCGTCTAAGATCCAAAGGATTACCCGAGTCGGTTCACAAAAGCTCCATCAAACAGCTCTATAAACAGGATATTGACAAGAGCGGTCTCCAGTACCCACGGTGACCTCTCTTCCCTATCCTGTGTGGGCACCGACCACCACAATGGGCGAGTCATAACTCCGCTCAGATCTAGCTCTCATGACAGCAAATGTCCTGAGCAGGCTGCAGCTTAAGAGGCTCTGTACTGCACGATAGCGACTCCTCTATACCCATACTCCTGGGTTTTGGATCATTCAGCCATATCTGCAACCACCTCTGGTGGTGGTTCTGCCTTTGGCACTGCACCCTGCTCTGGTGGTGGTTCTGTCTTTGGAACTGACTGCACCCTGCTCTGGTGGTGATTCTGCCTTTGGCACTGCACCCTCCGAAGACTGGCCTCTAGATGACTCCGGAATGCGGATAATAAAGATGCATCTCTTTGGCATCGGAAAGTTTGCGCGCCACATTCGGAATTCAGAACCCTACTCCTGATGCGGCGTAAAGAGTATATCAAGCTGGTATCAGGCACCACGGAGAGCATATGAAGCAGATCGAGAACAACCGTTAAACATGGTCATCCGAGAGGCACATGATGAAACAGAGTGAAAACAAGCAGAACCACAAAGCAGAAACCATCAACGCCCAGTGTGCCGCTCCCCAAACTTCAGGACTGAAAGGTACATCTATGACCCTGAGCAAGCAAGTGAGCGCGCGCGCGCGCGCGCGCGCGCGCGCGCGCGCGAGAGAGAGAGAGAGAGAGAGAGAGAGAGAGAGAGAGAGAGAGAGAGAGAGAGAGAGAGAGAGAGAGAGAGAGAGAGAGAGAGAGAGCATGCAAGTCATGAGTGTGCATGCGCATCTGAGGTAGAGAGATGAAGAGAGCTTGAGGGGATTGAAAGACTGAATGAGGGAGAGAGATTGTGTCGTGGCTCACCGTTCATTGTCCAAGCTACATCCATCATGTGCCTTTGTGTGCATGCCGTCCTCGGATCACATACTACCCATCAAAGGTTTCAACACATTTCTGCCATTTATTCATTAGAATGTACACCTCATGATACTAGCCTTTCTTAACGTAAGCAGCACTGCAGCAGTCAAATGACAATCAACAGGTACCCAATCTTAGTTGCTGTCACCTGACATGGCTCAGCCTGGCTATGAGCCACCCACCGCACACCATCCCTTCTTGACAATGACAACCCCAATGACACGGGCTCTGATCAGAGGCCTGTTCGCCCCAGTTTTTTGTCATGCATGGCGCCCAATATGCAGTGCAAAGAAAGAAGGAATCATTAAAGATCTCTCTCCCTACTACCTCATCTGGGGAGCTCTTTCCCAGAGGAGCGTCAATCATTCTCTAGCATCACCTATAGCGAGGGACTCGAGAGTTGTCGGGGAGTAATAACAGGAGTCTGTATTCTCATCGCGATAGACTATCGTATCTATTAACCGAACTGGAGAAGAAAGAACAAAGTTCGTATTATCCATGGAATTCACTATCTTATGAATCCGCCGAACTAGACAAGAAAGAAGTAATGGAGCTGTCCACTTGCATGGACAGTTGGGAACAGGTTACCTAGGCTTTCCGCATTTTCTCTAAGATCCCGCATAGTATATGTTCTGATCAGTTTAGGAGGAGGAGGGGGGGGGGAAGAAAAAAGAAGGTTCATGGGAGGTTGCACCGTTGCACCCAACCCCAACACCAACCCCCTTCCTATGGTGCTTCATCCAGTAGCCTGCTGCTGATCCAGGGGGCAGGTTCCACTTACCTGGGTTCTCCATTTCCGACCATCGATTATGAAGAACAACGGATGGAGACGAATAATCCGTGCAAATAGGACCTGGCCCTAGTTGTGTGTTAATGACCCACGGTGGCTGGCCACCGTCAACCGCACCCAACAACGCCGATGAAGGACGACACGCGACCAATTCCGTTCGAAGAGAGGCACCTGATGGCTTCCTGGGGACGCACGGCGTGGCAGGGGACAAGAAACGTATTGAGTAACGCCGAAAGCTGATCTACCTCAGGCCATGGCTTCCTATGACTGGGGAGGAGAATTTGTTCGAAGGAGAAGTATCAGGGCAGCGAGTGCGGGCTTGATGTTCGGTCGCCGATAACGTTTGTGAGCAATGAGCGCATGAGATGTGTGTTCAGCTGCAGTGCTGAAATGTAGCATTGCAATTTGCAATTGCTGTGTTTGTGCAGACAGGAAGATTGTTTTCCAAGTGCCAACTGATGCTGACAATATGCTGAATGGCGGCCAGCAGGCCCGACAACTTCGGCGACAACTACAGAAGCCCTTTTCAATGAGAGCTCACTTCCAGAAATTCTAGCACAATCTCCTAGTCAAAGTCCAATGACAGTTGAATGGCTGAATCCATATTGTAATACTATGAATCTATGACAATATTGGCAGCAGGTGCAGCCGCCTTCCTGTGTATCTACTTCAATTTTGAATACTTCCACAACCTTGGCAGGAAGCACACCCCTAGATATGGTACCCAGCAGATGTGGAGCCACTCTTTCGCTTCTTCAGACATTCTTCCTCATAGATGGCTAACAGAAAGAATACTTTCCCTAGTACTTCGTCTAATAGAAAGAACGTACTTTACCTATGGTGCCAGTTCATATTTGGTTACCTGAAGCTCATGTGGAAGCACCCACCGCTGGATCTGTTATCTTAGCGGGAATTCTACAGAACAGAAAGTACTTTCTGACACAACAGAACGTGCTTCCTACTTTCTGACAGAGCAGAAAGTACTTCCTACTTTCTGACAGTACAGAGAGTACTTTCTGACAGAGTAGAAAGTCCTTTCTAAACAGAAAGAAAGGGCGTATTTCGGAGACTGAGCCGATGAACTTACCCCTTGGCCGAAAACACCATTCACCTGGGGCTTGGTTGGCGACCATGCAGACCTTTTGGCGACATTTCTGCCGGCGCCCATATCCGGACGACTTGATCCCAACTTGAAGTTGCAAGCGACGTTCCTTCCGGCGAGATGGCAACCGCACTGACCTGTCCGTCGTGCGGCAGCTCAAGCAGCTTCTTCCCGGTCAACGTGTCGTACACTCTGCACTTATGGTTTGCACAACCTGCGAATAGCAGCCGACCAGAATGCGAGAATGCAATTGATGTAACAATGTACTTCCTATTCTCACCAACCGCCTTAGCATTCGGTCCGCCGAAGACAGCCTCGTCTCCGTATCTTGCAAGCTCATGCGCAGACCGAGTGTCAAAGAGCGCACACGTCCCGTCATCGGATCCGGTACCAAACGTGAAGCCATCTGCATGAAACTGCACTGCATTCACGTCCTGCTTATGTGCGTGAAAGGTAATCTGCACAGGTACACATGCAATGCCACACAAACAGCAACACAGTCCCGCAAACAGTGTCAAATAAAGTCCCACAAACAGCCCCAGAGTCCCACAAATAAGCTGCAGAGTTCCACAAATACCCGCAGAGTTCCACAAATAGCCGCAGGTTCTACAAATAGCCGCAGAGTTCCACAAATAGCCGCAGAGTTCCACAAATAGCAGCAGAGTTCCACAAATAGCCACGGTTCCATGGTTTAGCAAACAAGCACCATTCTCTGAGTTTCAGTTCTAAGAACCTTGTGGTTTGATGAACATTGTCCTGCAAATTTAATCAGAGCTTTGCTGCGGACGTGCGCAGTGCCAAGGACGATTGTCAAATTCAGCAACTGTTATGATCCTGACCAATTTTGCAGTACGCATTCATCAGAAAGTACAATGCCGTCCAATTGCAAAAAGAACTGAATGAACTTGAGAGCTGTGTGTGAGGCGGCGGGCGGCGGTGAAGATGGAGAACTCTTCTGCCAACAAGGCAGCTGTGGCGGTCAATGTGACGATGAATATGCTGATGATGAGGACGATGACGAAGATGAGGAAGGAGAGGAGGAGGAAGAACAACGGGAGGCAGTAGACGGAGAGGATGATGTAGTAGAAGATGCAGGTGTGGGGGCTGGTGGTGGTGGCGGGGAATTAGCATGAGCAGAATCCGTGGAGACAGTCGGCAGTGGCAAACGATTAGCTCTGCACTGTTCAGACCTCTTTCTTATGGGTCACCTGTAGGGTTGGGCTGAAGGTCCTCTTCAATGTGGGGCCACACTTTCAGCAGCAGCTGCAATGGCAGGGTGAAGGTTATCGTCCCCTGCGGCCACTTCAACAAAAGTTTTTGCTGTCTGTTATGGGTGGCCGGGTTTCCAGCGGGACTGCAGCATCCACAATAGGAGTCGTTGGTCCGGTAGTAATAGCTGGGGAGGCCAGGCCCAATGTGTGAGGCTGTGTGGAGGGTTGATGCTGCTCAGACTTGGGATTCGGCAGCGGGTGGGCAAGTGACTACCGTCTTAACCCGAAAACAAGGTACATACCTTGTATTCAAGTTACCCCTGAAAAACGGGTTCTAAGAAATCGCTGCTGAATTTTCGAATAGAAGGTACCCTCGAATACAAGGTACGTACCTTGTATTCGAATACAAGATACATACCTTGTATTCGAGGTGCACCTTGTAACTGTTACGTAACTCTCTCTCTCTCTCTCTCTCTCTCTAGTGTGCGCTGTCCACGCACGCACCTGCTTCCACACACGGGCGCTATGCTCTCTCTCTCTCTCTCTCTCTCTCACACACACACACACACACACACACACACACACACACACACACACACACACACACACACACACACACACACTCGAACACATGTAACCACGGCAAAGGTACTAGTGCTTAAAAAAAAAAAAAAAAAACTTCTGCAAGGAATATGAGTGTGAGCGATATACATAAAACCAAGTTGCGAAATCACACAGCTGACCAAGTAGTCGTGTCCCAAGCAGAGAGTACAAATGCACCGAGAAAACCATCCATATAGAGCAATACAATGAAGTGATGAGCCAATGTTCAAGCCCGTAGGCCACACCAACACAGCATCCAAAGTCGCACTGCTCTGTCTGGCGTTCAGCGCCCAGCCTACTCTACCAGACTATCCTACCTACAGCTGGTTCATGCAACAGGATCACTTCGACTCACGAAGACCAATGTACATGACTGCCAACACCATCGCCGACCTCTCTTCATGTACCAGGTACGTATCTCGTCACCCTCAATCAGACCTCGATTACCCCACACAGCGCCTCCTTCCCTGAAGACCACCTGATCATCCACTGTACCTCCCTGGCGCCCAGCAGCCCGGCTATGGCTGCCTGCGCCCCGCTGCCCTGCAGCGCCCCACTTCACCTCTCGCGCCCCGTCAGCGCCCTTGGCAGCAGCGCAGCATCAAGCGAGAGCGCAGCAGCACTTCCGCAATGCCAGCGCTGGCCAGAATGCCTGGCCTGGGCTGCTTCCTTCCTTTTGTGGAAGTGGCAGCCTCCTGAATGCCGCGTGTGGCCTGGCTGGAAGCTTCCAGTAGCTTCCGGTTGGGTCCCAGACCCTGCGCCCAGGCCCGAGACTACAGTTGAGGGCCTGGGCCCTTTGCAGTTAGGCACAGCCTGAGTCTCCGGACTTGGGCTTTTTGCTGCATCTGTGCAGGGCTCCCAGGCAGGTGCGTTGGAACTACTGCTTTTGCCAAGGCCGAAGGCCAGCTTCCCAATGTATCGGCCCTGCTTTGTGTATGTGTGCCCAGGCGCAACTGTCAAGGCCTGGGCCAACTGTATGACGCAGCAATGTGAGGCTCACGCGTCTTCCCAACCAACTGGCGTGCTGAGAGAGCCTGAGAACCCACATATGGAAATGTCGAATTTTGCCTTTGACGAATATTCAGGCCCGCCTTCACTTAGGGCGGGCACTTGGCTTGCTGGGGACCTTAGACTAGAACAATGTGATGTCTGATAGGCCCCCTTGAGGGCTTATTCCTCACACTTCACGCTGCAGCCCCGTTTTCAATTCATTTACTAATGTTTACTACTGTAATGACCCGTCAAAACACAGACTGAGAACACTGCTGATTTCTGAAGTTCTGCCGATGGAATGGATGCCTTGCTGAGATTCCCGCATTCTGCTGTGTTTTCTAAGTCTGTCTGTGTGTGCGTGCTTGTGACCTGCGTGCCTGACTGAGTGCTTGTCGGTATGAGTGTGTGTGTGACCCGCAAGGGTACTTGCTTGTTTGGCAGGCCCGTAGGGCCGGTACTTACCTGTGGCCGTGGCATTGAGGGTTGTAGCAGGGAAAAACACTGAAGTGGCGAAGATAGCGGCCCCACGGCCCTTGGGGTAGCGAAAAAACACTCAAGTGGGCCGGTAGGCCGATACTGCACCCCACTGCAATTGGCGTGAGGGGGTATTGGAGGCCGAGCAGAAAAAAGATAAAGTTGGCATTTTTAGAGTCCAGTAGCGGTAGGGTAGGTCTAGGCCCCTCACAGAACGGAACTTCAACCCGCTGCACGACTTCGCCCTACCCACTGCACTCATGTTCGCCGACGACCTTACGGTACTCATTAGAGCAAACAACAGCTCCTTCCAAGCACTGGTAAGGGCAATGGAAGCATTCAGACTGGCATCAGAAATGAGGGTTAATTGGAATAAAACCGAAGGATGGTGGCTATCTGACAGTCCCCCCCCCAACCACAAGACACAACCACACCCATGACATGGAGCACGGGCGAGCAAGCACTACGATTCCTGGGCATTATGGTCAACAAGGATGGAGTGTGGCCGGGCATGGGCCAGAATCTAATAGCAAGAGCAACCAATCGCATGGCCCTGTGCAAAAACGCCCAGGCCTCACTAATCGGGCGAGCACTGCTTGTTAACACAGCGATCTTTTCTACGCTGTGGTATATGGCATCAATCTGGTCCCCCCCCGATGACGACCTCAAGGAGCTGAAAAACAGGGTGAGACGCTACCTGTGGACAGGTGATCCCAATAGGACCACTTGCATCAACAGGGTCGCATGGAACCACATCACTAGGAAGCCCCAGGAAGGGGGCCTCGGTATAATCGACCCGAAACAAGAATCCATAGCACTGCAGATGAAATGGATAATCAAGATTCTTATCAGACAATTCCTCCCCTGGACCCAAATGGCGCTAGACAGCATAAGAAACTTAGCTCCTATCAATTCCCCTCCAAACATGAACGGCCTCTTCTGGCTCATGGCAAAGGACTGGACAATCAAGGCCGGCAGAACACGCAGGAGAAACCCTGCACAGCACAATCCCGCGCAACCCAACATAATCACCACCCAAACAACCAGCACATATTGGAGCCCCACCATCAAAGCCTGGCGCAAAATGATGCCGAGCAAGCACGGGACACCAGGCAACAGAGAGGAAGTACTGAGACAACCTCTCTTCTGCAATCCTTGGACAACTGACCCCAGTGGAACAGCCTGGACTCTGCGATCACGGGACCGCAGATGGCTATCCTGGGTGGAAAAAGGAGTGTGGCAGGTCAAGCACATTTGGGCAGAAGACCAAGGACGTTGGGCAACGGAACAGGAACTACGCAACACACTAAAGGGCTGCCACGCCCTCGCTGAAAACTTAACGCTGATCCAGAATAGTATCCCAACACAATGGCTCCCCCTCCTAAGAGAGGAATTCTCTTGGAAATCCGGGGACTGGGGCATATTAGTCTCCCAAGCCCAGCCTACCAGAGCATATAGATTTGTCGCCAGGACAAGCCCAGCAGGCTATCTATCCAAATTCTTTTCCTACCCGATAGCGAGGCACAACACAAATGAAATGGAAGCCCAAAACATCGACCCGCAGAGCGAGACGCTGGAGACTTTTCGACTGAGAAAAGTAAGGGTAGCCAAGTCCAAACCCTGGAAACTGTTCCGACCGGATCTGTGCATCTCATAACTAGAATTTGACCCAAAAGAATGGATATGGAAACAGGGTAACTCAGGGAGAACGAGAACAATAGCTGAGTATGATGTCAAATTCGGCTATGACCTAGGCCTACAGACCACAGACCCTGGTCCCAGACTCGGAAGCAAATGGAGGGAAATTCTGAGTCTGGACCCCTCGACCCCCATATCCATCCCGTGGACTAAATTCCTAACCATTAGACCGGCGAGGATTCGAAGCATGCAATGGCTCTTAGCACACACCTCTCTGCCAACCAATCAATGGCTCCACAAGAGAAGAAAGTACACAGACCCCGACAACACTGATATATGCAGACTGTGCACAGAAAACGCCGTGGAAGACATACTCCACTGCCTCTTATACTGCACGGAAGCAACATGGATCTGGAACAAAGTGCGCGTCCTATGGACCTCTCTCTTCTCGTCACCCCCCCCGGCCACAACCCCCCTGAACATCCTGCTCCTATCTAACAACACTAACAATCTCAAAGGTGGCAAGGAAGTGTGGTTCC